AAGGTGGAGTCCTTTGGCAGACAGACCAGGAGCGGGGGTGACCCGGCAGCACTGGGTGCAAGTTTCTGAAAGGGCATAATTAAGCCAAGGTAAGAACAAACATCCTGGGCCCAGGAGCCAATCAGCCAGTCAGTTTGGCTCCCTTCCTCCTCCGTAGGGGGCATTCTCAGAGGTGCTGGGCCGGAAGAGACGGCGGCCCGAGGCACCGGGCCAGGAGAAGAGGCGGAAGGAGCCGCCCCAGCGTCGGGACGAGGAGTTCTACGTGCCCTACCGGCCCAAGGACTTTGACAGCGAGCGGGGGTGAGGGGCACTGCCCGGGAGGGGTGGAGGCAGGATGGGCTGGGGCCAGCGGGGGCACGCCGAGCCTTGACCTCTCCTTCTACCCCTTGCAGCCTGAGCATCGGTGGCGAGGGCAGCGCCTTTGAGCAGCAGGCGTCCAACGCCGTCCTTGACCTCATGGGCGATGAGGCCCACAACCTGACCAAGGGCCGGCAGCTGCTGAAGTGGTAAGGCCGGGCCAGGGGGCTGGGGGCTAGGGGGAGGGGCCATGCCAGCTGCCAGCCCCGCGGGTGCCCAGAGAACCCGCTCAGCGCCGCCTCCCCTCCCCCTTTCATACCCCCAGGGACCGTAAGAAAAAGCGATTTGTGGGGAATACAGGCCAGGAAGACAAGAAGAAGATAAAGACAGAGAGTGGCAGATACATCAGCAGCTCCTATAAGAGAGACCTGTATCCTTTCCTCGTGGAGGGGCGCTCAACGGCTGCCCGCCCGTCTCCTGGGCTGGGGTCTCTGGGAGCTCTCAATCTCCCTTCCAGCTCCATTTTTCACATGCTCTGGGCTGGGCCCCCCAGCATTGAGGAATTGGGGGTGGGGCATTGCTGCCCAGAGGCTTCCCTCTGTGGCAGGGGGGAAGAGAATTGGATCTGGGGCCAGAGTTCAAATCCTGAATCCACCATATCTTCCCTGGTGGCCTTGTCTTCCCAGGCCTCAGTTTCCTCGTCTGAAAAATGAGAGGGGTTGGGCTAGCTGGTGCCTAAGGGCCCTCCCAGCTGCAGACCTCTTTCTCCATCCCATGACCTCCCTAACCACCAATCTCAGGTATCAGAAATGGAAACAGAAACACAAGATTGGCGCCCGCGACTCGGAAGAGGAGGGAGAGGGAGAGGCCACAAGGCGGGGCTGGGATCGAGGCCGAGGCCGAGGGAGAGGTGAGGAGGCTCTGACCTGGATGGGGGGCCGGGGGGAAGTGGTACCTCCTGGGAGGCAACACCTGAAAGTGACCTGAGCGACCCCTGCATCCACCCACCCCATCTCATGGGTGGGGAAACTGAGGCAAGGTAGGGAAATGACTTCAGTGACTGTTGTGTCCACTGACACCTCATCTTAGAGCGGCAAACAAGGCAAAGTAGGGCAGTGACCTTTGAGATCCCTGTGTCAACCTACCCCATCTCATGGGTGGGGAAACTGAGGCAAGGTAGGGAAATGACTTCAGTGACTGTCGTGTCCACTGACACCTCATCTTAGAGCGGGAAACAAGGCAAAGTAGGGTGGTGACCTTTGAGATACCTGTGTCCACCCACCCCATCTTATAGGTGGGGAAACTGAGGAAAAGTAGGGAATGACTTGCCAGTGTCACCCAGTAAGAAAATTGGAGGGGGGCAGCTTCGTAGCACAGTGGATAGTGGCTCTGGCCTTGGGGTCAGGAGGACCTGAGTTCAAATCCGGCCTCAAACACTTGACACTTACTAGCTGTGTGACCTTGGGCAAGTCACTTAACCATGATTGCCTCACCCAAAAAAAAAAAAAAAGAAAGAAAATCAGAGGGCTGAGACTGGAGAACCGGAGCCCAGCGCTGTCACCCCTAGAAGATGCTACTCTGCTTTGGAAAAGTGACCTGTGCCCTTTGGCCTTGATCCTCTCTCCTCTTGTGCCTTGTGGTCAGTGCTGGTGCCTCTGAGCCCCTGGGAACTTGCTGGTGTCCCAGCCCCCGCCCTCTCCCGGAATCAGTGTCCAGAGAAGCTCGGCAATGGCACCTTGAAGACTGACTGGGCAGCCGCCACCTGGCACACGTGAACGTGCTGCCCACTTACATAGACATTTTCCAGAAGCCCACTGTGGCAGACCCCCGGAAGCCTCCCCCTCACCAGTGGGCTTCCCACCCCTGCTGGAACCCCTCCGGGGTGGGGAGTGCACGATCTTATTCCTGCTACTAGAACTTTATTATGATTTGGGGACTTGCGCTCAGCCCTGTGGTGCAAGGGGCACCTCTGCGTGGTGTTCATGCCCACCTGCCCAAGCACCTAAGAGCGTGTCTGCCTGCAGATAGACACGTGCGTGCACAGAAACACGGTGGCCCTCGCCCCTTTCTCCAGGGCTCCCTACTATGTACCAGCCCTATCTATCTTTTGTCCTTAGGTTGGGAGCGAAGGGTCTCGAGGGCACAGTGAGGCAGCCAGGCATAGTGGTTAGAGCGCCAGACCTGGAGTCGCCCTTTTACTCACTCTGTGGCCCACCCCCTGGCAAGTCATTTTCCCTTCCCAGCCTCAGTTTTCACATCTGTAAAGTGGGGATAACAATAACTCCTACACCCAGGGTTATTGTGAGGATAGAAGGAGAGCTTTGCAGACCTTAAAGTGCCCCATGGGTGTCAGCACTTATCACTGAGGTGTCCTCATGACCCCCTCAAGTGTCTTAAGGCTGGAGAGGAATAGAGCAAGGCTCTGGCCCTGGTTCTCATTCCACACAGCAGCCACGTGGAAACACAGACCTTTACATGTGTGCATGCATGTGTGTACATGTGTGCTGGGTTTCTGCCTCCCTCCTGACCATCCATTTCTTCCTCACTCCACGTCTGCTCCCTCTGTCTGGGTCCTCTCCTCTGTGTGTGTCTCTGTGTGTGTGTCTCTGTGTCTGTGTCTTTGCTCCCAGGCTCCCCTTCTCTGCCTGCTCCTCTCTCTGTCTCTCTTGGCTGGACCTTACACATGTGCCCTTGTTTCTGTGTGTCTCCCCGTTTCCGTGTTTCTCTGTCCCTTTGTGTGTGTCTCTCCATCTCTCCATGTTTCTCTATCTCTGCCGCTCTGGGTTCCTTTCACACCCTCGGCTTTTGGTTTCTATTTTTAATTCCTAGCAGTGGCTTGGGGGGCTGCCTCAGGGCTGGGAGAGGGAGGTGTGATAGGAAGCCTCTTCCATGCTGGGGGGGGGGGGCAGCTCTGGGTGGCTCCTGTCCCCCGGTAGGCTCCTCGTCTTTAAGCTGACAGAGACCTGTCAGGCATGTGAGCCCAGAGATGGGAACGCCAAAAGGGAGGCTGCCATCTGCATGTCCAGGGAACGGGCTTACCCCAGGGGTAGGGACCAGCTGCTCTCTCCATCCACCAGTGAAAACCTTCCCATTGAGATGGACTTGAAATGGCGCCAGGAATGATTGGAGTTAGGCAGAAGGAAGGGGGGGAGATCCTGGAGAGGGTAACTGAGGGGTCTAGGTGGGGGTGCTCCAGCAGCTGTCCTGGGCGGCCTGGTCTTTGTGCGACATTCCCTGGGGACAGCTGGGAGCCAGGGTTCTGATCCTGGGGCCCTGGCGAGCCCTGCTTTTCTGTGCCTCAGATTCCTTAGCTAGAAGAACGCCATCTGACTGCCCACCTTCTCGGAGGGCCTTGTGTCATACAAGTCAGGAATACGGGTTCATATCCTCCCTCAAACACTTAGTAGCTGTGGTTGCCTTCTCTGGGCCCATTTGCTCATCTGTGAAAAGATGATTGTAATAGCACCAACGTCTAGCATTGTTATTATCATCCTCGTCGTCTCTGATTCATTCACTGAGTCACCTCGCCCTAACAAGTCTTTGTCCCCTTTTGAGATGTACTGTCCATTGTGGGACCAATGGACTCGTTGGGAGAAGGGCAGAGGGAGAAGAGGACTTTTGAGGATGAGGGATTGCGTGGGGTACCCCTGGTTCCCTCCCAGGACCTTCCATTCAGCCCAGTCTGTGGTGAATTCTGTGCTGTCCTGGGTGCTCTGAGGTACTCTAGGGTCGCAGATTTAGAGCAGGAAGGAACCTTAAAGGGCATCTGGGCAACCCCCTCGTTTTACAGATGAGGAAACTGAGGCACAGAATGCCTGGACAAGTGACTTGCCCAGGGTCACACAGCTAGTAAGTGTCTGAAGAATGATTAGAATGCAGAGGATCTGCCCCCCATCCCCTTCCTGCCGCCTCAGTGCCCCAGGTAGAGAAGGGGCCAGATTGAGATGCTGGAAAGAGCCCTAGACTTGGCATGGACGACCCTGAGTTCGGATTCCCAGCTCTGCTTTTCCCAGCCTGATGACAGGGCAGGCTCCTTTATTTCTCAGGCCCTCCCGCTGACCCTCCCTCCCTTGTGTCCGTGCAGGGGCGTCAGCGGCCGGTGGAACGTCGGGGGCCCAAGGGCGCGTGCGCTCAGAGCTAAAGAACAAACAGCAGATTCTGAAGCAGCGCCGCCGTGCTGAGAAGCAGCGCTTCCTGCAGCGTGGGGGCCTCAAGCAGCTCTCTGCCCGCAACCGGCGCCGGGCCCAGGAGCTCCGGCAGAGCGCCTTTGGCCGGCAGCCTGGGGGCAACCGAAAGGGCAAGATGAGAAAGAAGATGTGATGGCTCCCGCGTCCGCCACCTCCCCTGGGGCTTTGGGATCCCCATTGACTGGAGCTGTATGTGGCCCTTGGGAAGAGGCATCCCCGTCCATCTAACCCCCCACTGCCAGGGCTCCCACCTGAGACCCATGGTGGGGACATGGCTGGCCCCTAAGGGCCTGGGCTGACTTTGGGCTCTGCCGTCCGGCTCTGAAGGAGTTAACATGCTCTGCTTCCCCCTCCTCCCTCCCAAGAGGAGAAACCTGTTCTTCCAGGCCAGAGGCACCGTGCACGCTGGGCCAGCCTTGATCGGCTCACCACACCCCCAGAAGGGACTCCCCGAGGTGGGCCATGGGGCAAGGGAGGCATTGCCACCAGGCCTCACACGCAGCAAGTGCCTAATAAATCTTGAATCAGATCTGTTGAGTTGTCCTGACTGTGCAGGGGTCAATGGTGTGGATCTCTTGACTGTGGGACGCTGCTAGATACCCACGTACATGTCCAGATCTGCCAGGGCTCCTCACTGCTAGATACACACGTGTGCTCGAGAAGATGCCTGGGTCCAGACCTACCTCTTCTGTCAGCAGCTTCCCTCTTGGAAGAGGCCTAGTGGTCAGCGGCGGAGGGTCCAGGCTCTCCTTGGTGAGCTTGGCCAACGTGGCGGAAAGGTCCTGGAAGTGCCACTGTACCTGGGAGCCCCAGCCCCAGCTGGAGTCAGCTAGCTGGCTTCTCGATTCCCCAAGAGGCATTGCATTGGGGTGTGGAGGGGTCTCGTAAGCACCATGCCAGACTCTCGGCGTCAGAGCTAGAAGCCTTTCCCTGCCCCTCTTAACCGTAATGGCTTACTCAGAATTTTCCCCCTACTTATACTGTTTGTACAGTTAGCTTCTGTGTCCACTTTTGTTGACATCACCCCCATTAGACTGTGAAGAGAGGGACTGTCCGATGTGAAGAGTAAGTTACGGGCAGAGCCAGGTCCAGACCCCCCCTCTTAGGCCAGGTATTTTTTTTTCCCACCTTGCTGACCCATATGGGGTTCAGCTCCATGATTTTGGCATTATTCACTGTACTCTGGCCTCCTGAGCTAACGGGCCATCTACAGGTTGAGGCAGAGAGGAGGAATGGGAGATAGCAGGGTAGAGGGGCTTCCTAGAGCTTGGAAATTACAGCTCTGGGTGCATCTGGGGCTTTGGGCCCCCCTCACCTGCTCCAACTGCCCCTCTGTGTCCTCCACAGCCAATGCAGGGACCTCCTTCTTCTGCTTGCAGACCAGCTGGAACAGGTTGAGGGCCGCCATCTTGATCTGCCCAAGAAGCAGGGTCTTCTGGGCTGCTGTGTTCTGGATATGGACCCATCTTGACTCCTAGAGAAACCCAAGGGGAGGACGCGCTCAGCTGGAGAGGGCCATGGTGGACAAAACCCCTGTCCATCTTTATTGGCTCTAGCCCTCAATTTACATAATCCTGAACCCCAACTCATGAGTCCCCAAACCCACACACACATTAGCCTTCAACTTTTGGACCATAGGCTGAAGCAGAAAATACCAGGAGACTGGTCAGCCTTGGTCACTTCTAAAATATCCTCCCCCCAAAGTATCTGAGAAGAGAAACATTAGCTCTCTCATCAGCATCAGTAAGAATCGGTCCATTGAGCCGAAAGGGGAAACTCGGGGACGATATGGTTATTGTTGAAATAGCAGATCCTGGGTCCTAGAGGACAAAACTAAGACCAGTGGGTAGGAGGGGAAGATGCGTTCTAATCCAATGTAAAGAATTTCCTGATGAGCCTTTTAGCAATGGGATGAACTGCCTTAATAGGTAGGAAGCTCCCCTTCCGTGGTGGTGGTGGTTAAAAATGATAACTTAGAGGGATGATGTAGGAGAGATTCCTCATTATCATAGATTGGACTCAGGTATGCCAGAGCCAGCTTCAATGGGAAGGGAGAGCTGATTGTTAAATTGTCAGCATGAGCATTTACACCTCAGAAAGGCTACAGATCAGTTCTTGATTTATCATTTTCTTGTTGAGACTTAAGAAAGTGACATAGAGAATATTAGTGATGCAAATTGAGCTTAAAAGTGTGCCCAGCATACAGTTTTCCCACCTCAGAGAGCCGGTTGTTAAATGTTCATCAGCACACACCTTGTTGGACAAGATGACTTGTTAAGATTGTTTCCAAGCCCAAGATGACCTAGTAGCATATCAGTCAATCAACAAGCGTTCATTAAGTGCCCGCTATGTGCCAGGCACTGTACTGGGCACTGAGGATGCAGAGACAGAAATGAGACAGTGATTTTGAAGGGAGATACCAGCAGCTTATGTAAAATGTAGGGCTTCAGTTAGGTCTTGAAGGAAGCCGGGAATTACAGAGGCAGAGGTGAGGAGGGAGTGCGTTCCATGCGTGAGGCGCAGCCAGTGCAAAGGCACAGAGATGGGAGATACACAAACAGTAGGAAACAGCTTGACTGTTGCCTCCCCTGATAGAATAGAAACTTGAGGGCAGAGACCCTTTGCCTTTCTGCCTTTGAATCCCTAGTGCCTTATGTAAGCACTTAATAACTGTTTATTGATTGATTAATGACCATAGCGTATATAAAGGGGAGTAACAGATCATAAGACTGGAGAGAGAGGTTGGAGCGAGGTAGTGACGTGCTTTAAATGCCAAACGGAAGTTCTTGCATTTGATCCCAGAGGTAACATTGGAGATCACTGAACAGTGCGGTAAAAAGAACACTGGACTCGTAATCAAGAGTGACTGCTCTGAGCCCTAGTTTCTCTGACACCACGGCCAAGCTCACCACTCTGTGCCTCAGTTTCCTTATCTGTAAAATGAAGATAGTAAAGAACACTAGACTCAGCACCAGGCGACCAGGTTGAGTGCTCCCTCCAAGCCCTGGTCACTCTATGACCGTAGCTATCACCCTGCCTTTCACTTTCTTCACCTGTAAAACTAAGATAGCATCTGGCCTCCCTTTCCTCCTAGGGTTGCATTGTGCAAACCTGAAAGGTGAGCTATTATTTTTCCATGACTTCCCACCCCATTGGAGAGCAGAAGTGGAGGGAAATGGTGCGTTGGAGAGCGTGCTGGGCCCCGGTCCCAAGCCCACCTACCCATCGCAGCGCCTGAGCCCTGACCTCCTCCAGCCGAAGCTGCAGGTCGGCCACCCTGTTGTTCTGATGCAGTATCTCGTCATTCTTTTCTTCCACCAGTTTGAGCAGCTCGGCCCTGGCTTCCTCCACAGCCTTGTGCAAAGCCTGCTGTCGCTCAGCCAGGATGGTCTGCGCTTCAGACAGCCCACTGAACCGGGCCATCAGCTCAGGGATCTCCTGAAACTGGAAGAGAAGGCAAGGGGGGAGGCATGGTGAATGGTACCGTACGATCGGGCCTGTGACTTTTAAGCTTCTTTCCCCCGACAAACCTACAAAGTAATATTATTATCCCATTTTACAGATCAGGCTCAGAGGAGTAATTTAACATGAGTTCTTAACCTGGGGGGGTCTGTAACTATTTTAAAATATTTTTATCGCTACATTTCAATGTAACTGGTTTCTTTTATAGTCCTATGTATTACATTTTATGCATCTAAAAACATTCTCCTGCTGGGTTTGGTGACTCAGCTCTCCCGGTTACTGGGGGACGATTGTCTGAGCTCAGGAATTCTGAGCCAGAGCCATTGGGTGTCACCAATAGAGCGAGCTCCCCTGGACTGTCTAAGGAGGGGAGAATGGGCTAGGCTGGAGACAGAGCAGGTCCAAGTTTCCCAGCAGGTGAGCCCAGGGACGCTTCATTTCCAGCTAGATGTGATAGTGATTTTGTTGTTCAGTCATTTCTGTCACGTCCACCTCTCCGAGACCCCGTTTGGGATTTTCTTATCAAAGATACTGGAGTAGTTTTCCATTTCCTTCTCCAGTTCATTTTACAGATGAGGAAACTGAGGCAAACAGGGTGAAGTGACTTGCCCACGGTCACACAGTAAGTGTCTGTAAGAGGCTGGATTTGAACACAGGTCTTCCTAACTCAAGGTCCAGCACTCTCTACTGCACCACCTAGCCCTGCGTGATGGGAAACCTAGTTTAAAAAACACAAAATAAATAAACATCTGATGCCAGGCTAACCCTCTTTCCTTTTTCTGATAGGATTACTTAACTAGGGGATCAGGAGAATGCTGTAGCTATTGTTTACCTCAGTTTTTTTTGTTGTTGTTTTGGTTTTATTTTTTGATGAGGTAATTGGGGTTAAGTGACCTGCCCAGGGTAGCACAGCTAGTAACTGTTAAGTGTCTGAGGCCGGATTTGAACTCAGGTACTCCTGACTCCAGGGCCAGTGCTCTAGCCATGGTGCCAACTAGCTGCCCCTGCCTCAGTTTTGATAGAGCATTTGATGAAGTAAATACTGCTGCCATGTTGGCCAATAGTGAGATTGGGCCCGTGAGTAGCCAAGGCACTCACAGCCTCGAGAGATAGGGAGATCCAGTCTCAAGAGAAACACAAAACCAAGACAAAAACAAATGGTTACACACACACACACACACACACAGCAGTTACCCCTCCGGTCCTCCATTCAGAACCATTACAACAATCAAAAATAAATTGTTGAGGTTAAAAGGACCAAGACTGACCACATTCAGTCTGTCGATAAACATTTCTCAAATGCCTGTCACATGATAGGTGCTGAGCTAAGTGCTGGGGTAATGAAAGAAAAGACAGGGCCTGCCCTCAGGGAGCTCACAGTCTAGCAAGGAGAGGACATGCAAACAACAAACAAGCTGTAGACAGACAAATTGGAGATAATTCCCTCAACAGAGGAAAGGTGCTAGAATTAAGATGGAGTAGGAAAGGCTTCCTGTAGAAGGTGGGATTTTAGCTAGGACTTTAAGGAAGTCCAGGACTCTTGAGGCAGCCCATTAGATTTTCATGAAACTCTGGAAATTCTGAGCAAATTTTCTGAGAATGATTTCATGATTTGGTCTGAGGTAGAGTCAGACAAATTAAACATTATATATGCATATATACATACATACATACATACACATATATAATAACAGATATATACACACATATATGTATTGTGTATGTATGTATGTAAACTTGTTTGTACATAGTTATTCACATGTTGTCTCCCCAATTAGATTGTGAGCTCCTTAAGAGCAGGGATTGTCTTTTACCAGTCTCTGTATCCCCAGTGCTTAGCACAGTGTTTGACACATAGTAGATGCTTAATACGTGCTTATTAACTGACTGATAAAAGGTAGTTACGTTGTTGAATAATTTGATAAAACCCTACAAGTTAAATTAACATATACTTTGATAGTGACTTCAATTCATGGTGGAAATAAGTAAAGATATCAAGAAATATATTGGAAAACAAAGGAATAAAACCAGAGAGAAGACATGGACTCATTACAAAGAAGCCTCAAACATATATAATTATGAATATTCAGCAAATGAAGATGAGGAGGGAGAAACAGGGATGTGAGATTCTGCCCCCTTCCTGTCTTTGAGGAGGTGGAGGCCTATGGGTATAGAAAGCTGCATAGACTGCTAATCATGGTTGTTTTGCTAGTTAATTTTTCCGAATTGTCTTTGTCTACTTTAAAATTTTCTGTTTAAAGGATGATTTGGGGGGGGATATATTGGGAAATTAGGTGATATAAAAACAAAAGATAACAATAAACATAAAAAAAGAAGAAAGAGGGCTTATTGCCAAGAATGCCTTTTTTCCTTCCCTTCTTTCTTCCTTTTCTTTTTCTTTCTTCCTCTTTCTTTCTTTCTTTCTTTCTTTCTTTCTTTCTTCCTTCCTTCCTTCCTTCCTTCCTTCCTTCCTTCCTTTCTTTTTGATATCTAAAGCCTCTAGTGGGTAAGTCCTTAGGAGGGAGGGTATCTCTGAGGCTGCCTTGGCTCCAGCTGGACACGAATGCTCACCTCCTCTGACTGGCTCACCACCTGCTCCAGGTACCGGGCGAAGGGTCTGTATTTGTGCAGTTTCCGCTCCAGCTGCTCCTTTCTCTTAATGAGCCCCTCTAATTCCTTCCTCAGTGCCATGGCCTCGGCCTCTTTCTGGGCAGCGGTCTGCCGTCCTTCCTCTGCGCGGCGCAGGGCTCGACTCTGCTTAGCCTCTGTGTCCTGGCCGGAGGAAGACTCATCTTTCCAGACTGGACAGCTTCCCTTGACCTCCCAGGTGGGACTTTGCCTGCCCTGCCCTCTTGTATACTGGGTTCAATATAGATAGGTCTCTCTGAGGTAGGGGCTACTGGGGGATGCCAGGGGACAGAGCTGGGCAAGAAGGGGAGGAATCTTCAGAACTGGATGGAGGCATCTACCCACTAGGTCTAGCCTGGCTAGAAGTCTAGCCTGGGATTCTAAGCTGGCCATCCCCTGCTTTGCGGGGCTTCCTCTGTGGATGCATCAGGAAAATAGAGGGTCCACAGAGTCCCAGACAGCTGCCCAGGAGGCAAGGCGCTCCTGCATCCCCACGGCCGCCCACCTTCAGGAACTTGTCAAAGCGGACCATGGACTCCTTCAGAGCATCCTCCTTCTGTTCCAGGGCTTTCCTTCGCTGCTTCAGAGCTGACATCTTTACCTGGAACTCCTGAGGGTTGAGAAGGGAGAGGAGGATTCAGCTGGAACCTGGGGGTGGGCGCCACTGCTTCAATGCACACATACACACATTCCTTCAGATCATTGAGTGTTTACTGGGCTCTGAGAAGAGAGGAAGTGAGCCAAAAGCTGGAAAAATTCTAGAACGTCAGAGCTCAAAAGAGCCGTAGAACATGGAGTATAGGGTCTAGGCCAAATCTTAGAACAGGGAATGTCAGAGATGGGAGGAATCTTAAAATATAGGCTGACAGGGTTGGATAAAACCTTAGAACGTATAATATATTTGGGAGGACCTTAGAACAGGGAATGTCAGGGCTGGGAGGGGCCTTAGAGAATATTTCATCCAACTCTCTGTTTTTACATATGAGAAACTCCAGCCAAGAGAAAGTAAAAATGCCCAAATCCACACATCACCTGGATTTAGTGGCCAGTCCGGGCTCCTTCCATTACAAAATCTCCCCCTGCCCACCAAGACCCTGGCACTCATCTGCATAACTAACTACTTGAGCACCGCACAGCACCTCAACATCCAGAGGCTGGCCAGCATCCCTGGAAGCCAGGGAGAGACACCAGGCTGGCAGCCCCATCTCTTCTCCCCTGCCTCCTCCCTTCTCTTCTCCTTGTACTTCGGACAAACAAGGTCACCTCCTTCTTGGCCCGCAGAGCCTCCTCCACCTCTACCATCTCCTGCTTTTTCTCCAGCAGCTGGGCAGCATGGTTGATATAGCCATCCTCATGGGCCGGGGGCTTCCTGAGAGAAGAAGAAAGTGGATCGTGACACTTTGAGGCACCTCCCTGGCTGCCCTGCCCAAGGCGCCAGGTGGAGACAGAAACCAAGATCCAGGTTCGCTGAGAGGAGGCAAGAAGAGCCACATGAATGGGTAAGGACCAGTCTTGCCCATAGACACAGTGAGTGGGTCCCTACTTGGTCTGATGTAAGAAACCTCTCAATATCTTCCCAATGGTACCACAGATTCTGTTGTTAGCACGTCATCCAACCCCCAGATGCCACTACCTAGCTATGGGACCTTGAACGAGCCTCAGTTTCTCTCTATGAAATGAGAAGCTTGGACCAGATGGTCTCTAAGGACCCATCTGGTGCTCGACCTGTGGGATCATCTGATGTTCTGTGTTCTAAAGTAAATAAGTCAATCAAGTATGTACTGTGCCCTCCCTCCGTGCTGGGCACTAGAGCTGCGGCCACAGCACCTGTGCCCAAGGAGAGTCCCTGAGGGTGTGAGTGAGTGCAGATTAAAGTGAAAGAACACAGTCACCCAAAGTAGACAGATACAAGGTGGAGTGTGTGGGGTGGGAGGGGCACAGCTGCCACTCTGACATCCTGCGTCCTAAGGCATCCAGATCAATCCGATTTAATTCAACAAGCTTCTCTTAAATGACTGCTGTGGGCGGAGGGCTGCGTGTGTGAGTAGCGGATGAGCGCTGGACTTGGAGATAGGAACGCCTGAGTTCAAATGCTGCCTCAAACACATACTAGCTGTATGACCTTGAGGAAGTCACTTAATCTCTTTGTGCCTCAGTTTCCTCATCTGTAAAATGAGAGGGTTGGACTTCGTGGCTCCAAGGTCCCTCCCATCTCTGACATCCTCTGTCCTGAGACCTCCTCCCCCCTCCCCACCTCCGGCCCCATCTCTGACATTTCCTGTTCTGAGTCCTTTCTCCACTCGGTTCAGAATTCTATGTTCACAGGGCCTTCCTCATTCTGATATTCTGTGTTCTAAGAGCGCCCCTCCCCCAGCTCTTACATTCCATATTTCTATTTTTCTTCCCAAGGGGGTCCTTCCCGGCTATCACAGTTATTTCATCCTAATCTGTGAAGCCCCCTTCAAAAGGTAGGCGGAGATTAGAGGAAGGGGGAGGAGAGGGACCATAGAGTGTCAGGTAGGGAAAACCATTGAATAACGTGGGATAGGAAATAGCTGGGGTACAGATTTGGGGTCAAACAGAGCTCTCCCCATAGATCTGGCAAAGCTGCACAGCCCCGCCCCCAACTCCCGCAGAAGTTGCTGGGTAGGCTTGCTCTTTCTGTGGACACCTCTCCCCATCTCCCCATCTCCCCCCTCCCCCACACCCCCATTGACCAAACCTAGGAGTCAGCTCTTGGGAATGACTCTTCACTTCAGCCAGGGGCCACCACGTCCTATGGAGGGGCTCTGCAGGAGGAGGTGGAGTCCCCCTAACTCTGTCCCAGACCCCTCTGCTTCCCCACTCACTCTGCCAGCAGCTTTTCTTCCAAGACGATCTGGAAATATTCTTCCCAAGGCACTGACATGTTTCCAGTTTGACTGCCCCCAGAACTCTGTAAAGCCTGGAGTTTGTGAGTGCGCGCGCGCGCGCGCACACACACACACACACACACACACACACACACACACACACACACACACACACTCACACCAGGCACCCTAGGGGGCTAAGGATTAGGACCTGCTCAGCTAATCAGTGCATCCTCCGGATATGGGAATGGGAGCTCAGCCCCTACGCGGTTACTAAGGCAACGGTCAGCACAACGTTCTGTTGCCTGGTACATTGCTCCGGCTCCGCATTCCCCAGCTCTTTACGCAAGGCACTGTTAGCGAGCTGCCAGCAAAGGCGGAGGACCCGATGTTTCTTAGGGGTGGGGCTGGACGGATGGTGATGGAGAATAAGGGAGGGGACAGTATCTTCCCCTTCCTGGTTTGCTGTTACAGGGGAAGAGGTCAGGAGATGCACAGAGTTTTAGGGGTCTCAGTCAGTCAGTCAACAAGCATTTATTAAGTGCTTACTGTCTCATGCACTGTGCCAAGCCCTGGGTATGCAAAGAATGCCAGAAATAGTCCCTGCCCTCAAGGAGTGTGCATTCTAATGGGAGAGACAACAGGTGAACAAGTAAATGCAAACAACATAAATGCAGAGTAGAGGGAAGGCTGTGTGAGAGGCCAAGGCATTGGCAGGGGGGTCCACTAGGAAAGACTTCCTGTGACTAGGGGGGATGTGAATCCAGCGCTGAAGGAAGCCAGAAAAATAAAGAGGCAAAGGCGAGGAGGGAGGAGAACAGCCAGTAGCCAGAGGGAGATGGAGTGGCTTTGTGTTATCAGTCAATCAATCAATCAATTAATCAATCAAAGTAGGGGGGTGTTGCTGGACTGTACCGGGCCTGAGGGAGAGTAATGTGTAGGGTAAGAAGGCTATGAAGGGGCCAGGTTATGAAGAGCTTTGGGTGCCAAACAAGGGGTTTCTATTTGATCCTGCACATTATAGGGGGCCACTGGAACTTATCGATCAGGGTGTGGGGGGGGGGTGACATTTCATTTGACCATTGTCAGGTCTCTTTAAGGATTAGCTTCCCAAGGATGAGGAACCTGCAACCTTGAGGCCACATGTGGCCCTCTAGGTCCTCAACTTCAGCCATTTGACTGAATCCAAACTTCACAGAAAAAAATCCCCTTAGTAAAAGAATTTGTTCTGTCAAACTTGGACTTGGTCAAAACTTGAACCCAAGGACCTAGAAGGCTACCCTTGGCCTCTAGGCCGAAGGTTCCTCACCCCTGTGCCTCGACTGAAGGAAGGCTAGGGCTCTCCAGCCATCAGAGCCCTTCCTAGGCTGATGGGAAAGTAGATTGTGCTGCTTAACCCCACCGTCCATCCCCACACTCATCCAGCCTTCTCAGTTCTTTTGTTGGATCATTGGACCCCCAACTCCTTTATATAGGGGTCCTCCAAGACAGTCTATTTCTCCTTCTCTCTCTCCCTCTCTCCTTCCCTCCTTCCTCTTTCTCACCTCTTCTTCCCCCCTCCCCACACGTATATATATATATATACACATATAAGTGTACTTAAATATATATGTGTATTGTATATATACATTACCAAGTATATGTGTGACATTACCAAATGCATGTGTTCTACAGGTGCGTACAATGCACACATATGCATATACACACGGGTGTATATACAAACACATATACGCACATGTGTGTACACATGTGTAAGCATACAGATATTTTGTGTGTATACACATGTAATATGTGTGTTGTATGTACACACACACACGTGCACATGGTAATGTCATCAGCTCCCAGTGTTCAGATATCACCTCTATGCTGATGAATCCCAAACCTAGACATCCCTTCTTCCTAACAGGGCCCTCTGTATCCAGTATGTCCTTTGTCTAGCTGTCAGAAGAGCCTTCCTCAAGCCCAGCCCTAGCCACGGCTCTCCTGTGCTCAAACATCTTCCAGGGCTCCCTACTGAATCTAGAATAAAAACACTCCTTCCATTGGCAGTGAAGGCCTTCCAGAATCCAGTGTCCACCAAGACTTCTATATTTATTGCGTACCAATTGTTCTTCTTCATTACCCCGATATAGCCAAATTGGATGTCAAGTTGTAGAGGGCAGTTGGGTGGTACAGTGGATAGAGCACTGGGCCTGAGGTCACAGACACCTGAGTTCAAATCCAACCTCAAACACTAGCTGTAGGACCCTGAATAAGTCACTTAACCTTTGTCTGCCTCAGTTTCCTCAACTGTAAAATGGGGATCATAGTAGCATTTACTGCCTAGAGATGACGATATTTTGTGAATTGCTTAGCACTGTGCCCGATACATAGCAGGGACTTAATAAACTCTTGTTTCCTTGCGTTTCCATTCCCCAAACTCAACATTCCAGCTCCTACTTCTGGGTATCCCCACAGCTCTTCCCCCATGCTTGATAGACGCCATTTCCACTTCGAAGAATCTTTCCCATTCTTTGAGCCCAGGCCAGTGCTGCTGCCTCTTCCGTGAATCAGCTTGCCCACGTAGATCTTTTTGGTTGTCCAGTTATGTCTTTGTGACCCCTTTTAGGGTTTTCTTGGCAGAGATACTGGAGTGGTTTGCCATTTCCTTCTCTGGCTTGTTTTACAGATGAGGAAACTGAGGCAAGCAGGGTGAAGTGACTTGCCCAGGGTCACACAGTTAGAAAGTGTCTGAAGCCAGATTTGAACTCAGGAAGATGAGTCTTCCTGACTCCAGGCTGGTGCTGCTGCCCCCACCCCCCATGGGTCATAGGAAGATAAATTTTAATTACTCGCCTTTCTCTTTCACTTTAAGGTTCACACAAAACACTTAATGCCTGTTAACTCATTTTATCCTTACAATCATCATGGAAGGTAGCTGCTGTTTATTATCCCCATTATACAGATGAAGACACTGAGGCGGAACCAAGGTTTTCTAGGGGTCACTCAGATACTAAGTGCCTAAGGCAGATTTGAACTCAGCTCTTCCTGACTGCACCACCTAGCTGCCTCTTTAGATTTAGAACTGAGAGGGACCTAGGATGCCAGTCAGTCCAACCTTCTCAGTTTACACGTGAGTAAACTGAGGCAGAGAAAGGCAAAGTGACTTGCCTACCTGGATCATATGCTTACAGGGAGAAAGGACCTTGGATGCCTACCTCCTGAGATTACAGATGTGGTTATTAAGTAGCAGGGACATGATTTGAACCCAGAGTTCTCCGCCTCCAAAGCCAGTGCACCATGCTGCCTTTTCTAGGACCTGATTTGTCTAAGGTAGGATAGGAAGTAGGAAAGCCTGGCCTTGAACCCATGGCCCCTGAATCCCAATGCTTGGTTTTGTCCCTTGTAAAATAAGACCTCTTTCTCCATATAAAGTCACAGGACAAGTAAAAGCTGAAAGTAAAAATACAGAGAAGAAAGAAATCACTGTGCACTGTGTGTGTGTGGAGGGATGAGGTGAGTCAAAAATCCTGGAAGTCTTCTTGGAGGAGGCGTCATCAAACACAGCTGTGGCTGTGCCCTGGTTTGTCGGGGGATTTTTTTGTTTTGCTTTGTTTTTTTAATCTTTCTTTGATACAAAAATATAGCCAGGGCTATGGCTCCCTGCCCGGTCTTTCACTCAAACATCACAAAGGGGGTTTTGTATTCAGGAACAAACAAGGCCCGCACCCTTGGCCAGCTCCTCCTCTTTCCCTCCCGGTTCCACTGTGGCCCCAAATGGGACCGTGACCACTTCACAGAAGGGGAAATTAAGGTCGTAAGACAGTGAAGGTTATGTGGTCTTCTGACACAGCTGCACTAGAGACCTCAGTGGCCTGGGACATGCTCAGGAAGCAGCAAGGGAGGGGAACGAGCCTTGCCCTTGGAGCCAGAGGCTCTGGGTTCAAATCCCACCTCAGACACTCAGTACGTGCAGGGTCTTAGGCAGTGGGGTCAAACTTAAATAGAAGCAGGTCACTAAGATATTTAAACGGATGCCTTCAGGGCCTCAAATTCACTTAGAAAACCACAAATCTACATGATCTATGTTTTGTTGTATTTTTATTTTGTTAAATATTTCCCAATGACATTTTAATCTGGTTCAGCTGCACTGGGGAATTTTTTTGGCTACCTGAAGCACATCCAACACCTCTAACCTGGGAAAGTCAACTAATGTCCATGGGACTCAGTTTCCTCATCTGTAAAATGTGAGGGGTGGATCAGATGACCTTTGAGGCTCCTTTTACCTCTGGTTCCATGAGGCTGGACTTACTGCCTTCTAGAATGCCATACCAGAAAGGAGTTTAGAACAGTGTTAGAGCTGGGAGGGCGCCTTAGAACAAAGGGAAACTGAGTCAAAGGAAGCAGGTGGCTTGGCTAAAGTCACAGAGCAGGTCAGTGAGCAGGCCTGGATTGGAAGCCAGCTCATTCCCCCGTACACAGCACACAGCCCCTCAGGGAGGGCACTTGGCCAAGCGCAGGGTACCTGTCCTTGGTGCTTTCCCAGAGGCCATGGAGTGGCCCAGTGCTAGAGGCCCAGAGGTGGTGGCCCCCTCCTCAGGGTCTGGAGAATGCATCCCAGCCAGGAGGAGCCTAACCAGCTCTGAGGAAGTCGCTGTAGCCGGTGGCCCCTAGTGGTTATCTCTTTTCTGAAGCCAGTGTAAGGGGAGAAAAGAGGCAGGTAAATTCTTGGGCTGGGTACTCACTCACACACCTGTCCTGGCTCTTGGCCAGCCCGGGCCACTTCTGTGGGAGCTGCAGGGTCAGGTCTCCGGTTTTCCAAAAATCATTTCATTGACTCATCACCATCCTGGAGAGCTATCCCGTCAATAATTAAGGGGGGACGTTCACCAAGTAAAGATACCTCCCCACACACACACTCTGTGCACCGGGGGAAGGTAGGGGTTGATCTTTGAATCTGTTTTATTTGTTATGCGTGCCCTGAATTCCCTGGGTGCAGTAACCTGGAGCAGAAGTCAGCCAACCAGAGCCCTCCTCCCCCCAGGGCAAACATTGGCTCCCGCTTTTGGCTTGCACAATCCCCCTGAGGGACTGGAAGCTGCCAAGGCTGCATTTTGGTACCCACCATGGGCCCAGATCCATAGAAGTAAAATATAAAACAGCCCAGGTATATACCTAGCAAGGGGCTCAATGATAATAGCTGACTTTTGTCCAGTCCTTTAAGGTTTGTTTTGATCTTCACAGCAACCAACTG